AAATTTCTAAGAACTCTTTCTTATTCATTGTTCCTTTTTCATAGTATTGCTTTTGTTTCATATATGCAGTGTCTTTTCTTCCCAATTTTTATTTTGAAAACTTAAAAAACATAAAGGTTGAATCAGTGAACATCTGTATATCCCTTCCACCTAGATTCAGTAGTTAAAAAATTTTGTCACGTTTGCTTTATTCCTATTTACGTACATACGTCTGTGTGTGTGTGTATATACATATGATATGCCGCCTAAACAAACATACTTTTTTTCTGGACCATTTGAATATAAGTTGCAGATGTCACCACTCTGCTCCTAAATACTTCATCATGTAGCTTCTAGGAATAAAGATACTCTTCTACACAATCACAGTACCATTGTCACAGCTATGCAAATTAACAAATTCCATATCATCTCATATAGAGTCCATATTCAGATTTCTCTATTGTCTCAAATGTGTGCAAAACCTACCAAAATGTAAAATGTTCATACCTTTTCACTCAGCAGTTCCATCACTGTCTTGCATACATACTCCTGTGTGCACAAATGGGGTAGAGATAAGCACGTTCCCTGCAGCACTGCTTCTAAGAGCAGACGATAGGAAACAGCCTGAATGTCTGTTCATTTAGTATTGGGTTAAACACATTGAAACCAAACTATGGACTATCAGACAGCTGTTTAGAATCAAGGTGTTTAGAACTGAAGTGTTCAGGTATGTACCAATAAAGATGAGTTATATTTAACTGGAAAAGATTCCAAGTACTGCATGTAGTGTATCACCGTTTGTGTTCAAACAAAAAATTACAGATGTTTGCAAACTGGTAATTAACTCTGAGGGACAAAAGAGAAACTGGTAAAAGTAATTGCCTCTGGAGAAGTGAATTGGGTGACTGGGTAGGGAGGGCAGTTTACTTCTCATCAAATACTCTTACTCGTTTTGAGTTTTGTACTACGTCCATGTTACATAATGAAAAATAGTGCTTAGAGTAGATGAATATTTAATCCCATATAGCACTAGTTCTTAACCCAGGGTGATTTTTGCCCCCCAGAGGACATGTGGCAATGTCTGGAAACATGTTTGGTTGTTACAGCTGGAGGTGGAGGTAGTGCTACTGGCATCTAATGGGTAGAAGCCAGGGATGCTGTTAACCAGCCAATACACAGGTCAGCCTGGCACAATTAAGAGCAATCAGGCCCAAAATGTTAATAATGCTAAGTTTGAGAAACCCCACTGTAGAGCAATTCTGGATGACGAGGTTTGAGAAGAGCTAAGCAAGGCAAAAGGAGTGAACAAGAAGAAAGTCACGTCTATATGCCCAAGCGTTCAAATAACTGTGCCATTAAGATAATTCCTATTTCTAGCTGTGAAGGATGGTTGGAGAAGTCCAATGTGCTCTTGTTTGCATAGTTTATTCCAAACTATGGTATATTGGTACAGTATCAAGCTTCTCTAACCTTAGTTCCTGTTAATAATTTTAACTGTTGTAAACAGTGAAATAGCCACTTTAAGAATGAGGTCAGACTAAACATGATTTCTAAGGCTTTCACCTGATACTTGCACATGTACACACAGCACATGTACAAGAATATGCATGTGCTGCAGCTCTGTTAGCAATGAGAAATACTGGAAACAGCATAAATAATAGTATTGTTGTTGGTAGAGTAACTTCTGGTATATCCATATAATGGATACCTTGCAGCCATAGGTCTAATGATCTCCAAGCTATGACGTTTAAAAAGCAAGTTTGAGAACAGTGTATGTGGGAGGTCACCATCTGTACATATGATATATAAAAGATATACATGCATGATCTGTGAGACATACGCCAGGTATCAGAAAGTGATTGTTTCTGGAGGATTGGGGCAAGGAGATTTTCACTGTATGCCCTTTTGCATTTTTGTACTCTGTGCATACTACTTATATACATCAGGAATGCTCTAAATCAGTGAGTAAATGCACTGTATAACTCCACTGCAACACATAATACAAGGAGAATGAAATATGTATTATAATAAAGATGTAAAGAGACATGTGGAAACACAGAAAAGTTGCAGATGTTGGAAAGTTGAAAATGTTAAGAGGAAATGAGGAATTTCAAGCCATACTTCAGGTGAGGCACGAGTAATTTCAGTCATTACAAATAAACATCCTTTTTCCTAATACCTGCTCCACTAAGGTAATAAAGACAAGAGGACAGTTGGGGTATCTATCTAGAGACTAGGGCAAACATGGAAGTGGAGGTATTTCCCATGGGAGATGAAGAAAAGCCCCTCTTAGGAAGAGCCTACTGGGCTGGGATGCTTAAGACTTGGTTGGCCTATTTGATGGAAGATGAGACGGGGGAGTGGAAGTCAGGAGCCCAGGGTATAGTCCTGGCTTTGCCACTAATTCATAGTGTGACTTTAAGCAAGTGAACCTCTGGATCTGTTGTCCATCTATAAAAAGAGAGTGTATATCCCAAAAGACAAATTTAAAAAAATTAAATAGGTGATTCCTGTCAGGGAAAAAATTTCACAAAAACGGAAAAATATCCAGCCTTCCCATTAAGCAAGAGGAATATAAATTTGAGATTTTATACCTGTTGAGACAAAAACAAAATCAACATCCCATACCATTGAAATTCTGTTAAAACCAGTACACATGTTTGTATCTGTTAGTAATTCACAAAGCATTCTAGAAAATATGGCATGTTTATGTAACTGAGCCATACAGATATTCCCACCCTTTGACTCAGTAACTGCATTTCCCAGGAATTTATCTTAAGGAAACAGTTAACAGATATAAAAATACATATACATAAAGACATTAATTCATTTTAATGTTGTCTGTAATAATAAAAAAAAACCCTAGGTAAATGTTAAATACGGACACATCAACATGAAATATTACACATCTATAAGAAGCATTTTGAACACTAGATATGTTTAAAAAAATGCTACTATGTTCAATGTATATAGAGGTAATATACAAATGTAATTTCATTAGAATGAAGAACTATGGGTACTTTATATTTAATCAGTATTTAATATTCTTAAACTGGCTTTTAAATTCTAATAAAAAGAACTTAAGAATAAATTTGAGGAATTAAATCATTTGATCTGTGAGGTCTATGATTCTAGTAATTCTCTGATATAGCACTGAGGGCTTTGCTGTGAGCTTTCCTCTAGTAGGCAAGTATGACAGTGGATCAGATAAATCTTCAGAATAGACAAGATTGCAGTGCAGCAGAGGCCCCTGCAATTTGGAAATAATCAGGGACATATAGTGGGTTTTTTTTTCCTTTTACACATAAACTAACTCATATATATACTTTGAATTTTGTGTGATTTATAAAAATAGTTTTAGACATAGACTACATCTACACCCACATCTGAGTATAAAAGTATAAGAGGGATGAGAAAAGATGTGAGAAGGATAAGCACAGATCTCAGGACAGGGAAGGAGTCTTGAGATAATTCTAGTACAACCTCATTTTACAGATGAAAAACACTGATGCTTAGCAAGGAAACATGATACTACATGTAGAGAAAATGCGATTTGGAGAAAATAGGGAAAAAATTAAAAGTGGGGGAGAAGAGAGGGGAAAAGGTAAAAGAAGCAAGTACATAGTCACGTGTATGTGGATGATAAAAGGGATGATGGCTACCACCAGAGGGTGAAAAAGTGACCACTAAGCCCATGGTCCTATACATCTATCTTGGTATCTAATTACCCTGTACAAGGTGCAGAGCTATCAAACTTCTACTCTTTTAACTCAAAGTGAAGGCATAGACTTTCAAGCCTCACAGATCAATGCTAAAAGAGATCTTTAACCATGAACTGAACATAGAACATTGTTTAAGAAAAAAAGTACAGCAATTGGTATCACATTGGCTTTTTCTGATTTTTATTAAAAAAAATAAAGATTCTTTAGATTATACTGATTTTCCTCCCTCAGAACTCATTTTAAAGTATCAATTGTGAATTTCAATAAAAAATTTTAAATCTGCTAATTTACATGGAAAACAAAATCTTTAGTTTCAGAAAGACTTTGAACTGGTTCATTCTATCTGTACAAGTTATGTACATAAATGCACTCTCAGAAATTAGCAAGTCTTATCTCTGTATATAAGCTTCTGAGATGAGAGTATCTGAAGCTTTTGCAACACCCCCACTTTAAGGGGATGGCTTTAGTGCCTTTGGGATGCTGCTAGCCACAGTTATTTTGCGTCCAGGCATTACTTTGCTTCTCCTATGTTTGACAGATTTTACTGATGGAAAGCTGATCTAAGGACGAGATAGTGCTTGTCTAAGCTGGGATTTTGCCTTGAGCACTGAACAAATCAGATTTTAAAAGTAAAGTTCAACTTACATACCATTTTTGATGTCATACAATACCTGGCTTACTGGCAGACATTAAAAAATCAAGTTTTTACTTTTAATGATTCTGTAACCAGCAACTTATTTAACTCTACTTCAATAAAGTAAGACTATGTTAAGCAATTATTTTGGTTTTTTTTCCTTTTTGGACTTTGACATCTTAGTAACCTTACAGCAAATCTTAACAGATACATACCTCGTTTTACACAAGATATATTTCAACAGTGGTATGTAAGTTGGATTTATGTAAACTGATTTCTATCTTAGCTTACATTATCATTATTTATAAAATATTTACAGTAACTTTTAAATTATCTTGAGTTAATATTTGATGCCAAACATTTAGGTGTTAGGCTATATCTAGTTTCCCTTCCCTCTCTTATCCACCCTACCCCCAACAAGCGGTTAACAGGAGCTTATTTAAAACAAAACAAATCTATATTAGGAATATTACCTATTTAGAAAAATCACATAGGAAAAGCAAGATTATCAGGAAGATCTTAAAGAAATGTGTTTTAAAGGTGCCAGATATAAAAGCGTAGAAGCAAAGCATGGGAGGAAAAATAGTAAAAGTTTAAAACCTGAAGTTTTTCAACAGGACTGAAAAAGTTTATCATAAGTATTTAAGAATCATATCAGCACACACTAACATATCACAACTAAGCATTTATTATACTGTTTAAGAAGGGAAGCAATTGCAGTGGTATTTCAGAAGCTGTATCTTTTTTTAAATGTAATATATGCTCATAGACTCTAAACAGTATTTTAAAATATACAATCTCTCCAAAAGAAAATATTCAACTAAAGATAGATAACTTTTAATGTAAGTAAAATGTTACAAGATTTTAAAATTAAAAGCATCTGATTTTTCACAACACATGTACAGAAATTCAGAAACTTCCTGTACAGAGACGTGTAATCTTTACTCTTGAGCGAGGCGTTCAATAACACGTCGATAATCTTCCACAAGTTCCTGAAAGCTTTCTTCCAGCTGTTCATGTTGCATGCTTATCTCTATTTGGTTCATCTGGTTTGTCAGCTCTTCTGGTCTAAGACATTTCCTCATTTTAGCAAGATCTCTCTGTTTTTTCTAAGCAACAAACACAATTACTGGTTAGACTAAGAAAGCTGAAACATTTCTTTATATTAGAATTTTAAGTCTCCAATGTTAAAAGTAATAGTAGAAGGAATATGCCCAAATTTGTCCTATACAGTTTTTTCTTAAGGATGCCTAAACATAATGTTAATCATGAATTACAAACCCTCTAAAAGGAGGGTTCCAGAAGACATGGAATTTCTGTCAACTGATGGTAAATACAGATCTATGACTAATAGCCCCCTCTCCAAAGCATAATAAAGAACTGGCTAGTGTAGAAACTCAAATATTTCTTTAACAAATAAAATATATTAACTGAAGAGAAACAACTGAGATTAAGTGCTATTATTTCATCTCACTATTTAATGATTAATTAATTACATTACTTTTAATTTCAAGCTGGCTGCTTCTGCCACTATGCTCATTTCTGAGTTTCCTTACCCAGTGATGTATTTACGGACCACATGTTGATTTTAAAATAAACTGTTGGAAGTTTCAGAAAGATAAGCCAAAAATTGTCCCACTTTAAAAACAACATTAACTAGAGTTTACTGAGTCACTACTATCCAGACATACATTTATCTTATTAAACCTTTCTTTTTTTTAAACCATTCGCCATTTTACTGAGGAGACCATCAGGCTCAGCAGTCTGCACCATGCTGAGGAGCTGCTAACAACTTTTAGGCAGGACACTGTGTCAGGACAGTACTGTGTTAGTAATGCTGAGGATGGATGGGACTGAAGGGCCAAGTTAGCAGCTACTGCAAGAATTCAAGCAAGAGATGATGGAAGCCTGGACCAAACCAGTAGCAGCAGAAATGGAGGGGACAGGACAGATTAAGGAAAGAACACACTGGGTGATGTGGGGAAAGAAGAATGAAGAATGACTCCAAGATTCCTGGATGGGTGACAATACTGCATTATATAAAACACTTTAATATATGACACTTTCATACATTTTGGATAAACTGCTTTAGATCCTATCAATCCTCTTTTATTAAAGTATGTAATAAGGAGCTACCTTTACATAGAGATCAGAAATCCTATGCATTAACTCATGTGATGCTAGTGACTCCATGAGATAGGCACTATAATTTTCTTCAATTAATAAAGAAAAAAAAAGATACAGGAGTTAAATAACTTGTCACAGAGGTAATAAGCTGAGAAGCCAGGATTCAACCCCTAACAATCTGGCTGGAAGTCTGTATTCTAACTATCTAACTGCTTTTCAAAAGACAATTAAAAAACAAAACAAAACCCTAAAAACAGTATCTTCAATCCATCCTAAAAACTAATAAATGTCCCTTAAAGGAAACCCTAATGATTTTGGAATATAGACCAATCTGTCATGATTACTACTTAAAAAGGTCAAAATTAAGCTAAACTTATAATCACACAAACATTTTAAAAACAAGGTAACAACAATAAAGTTTGGAAATAAGCCTTTACTGAATTAAGCTACTTGACAGTACAAAAAAATTAGGCTGATACTGGATCTAATTTGGTAGAGCTAAGTAAAAGACATTGCTACGACTATAATCAGAAAGAAAAAAACTTGATTACTATTAGACGCCCCGCTAAAGCAGTGCCAGTCAAACTTAAATGTGCATACAGATCACCTTGTTAAAACGCAGATTCTGATTCAGCACGTCTGAGGTGGGATGAGATTCAGCAGTTTTAACAAGCTCCCAAGGTGATGTTAATGTTGCTGATCTACTGACCACACTTTGAATATTAGTTCTGGAGAACTGATGAAAATTCAGATTTATTGCTCCTAATGCCTGGAAGGGCAGTACATTCCGTACTCTTCAATCATGTAGATAAATGTTTTGTTTCTGCTGTAAAAGTAATTTTTTATGCCAAGAGGCATGACTGCACTATATAAGAGCATCTAACTTAAGGAAATGCTCAGGAACTAAAGGTTAATGCATCCAAAAAATTATCATGGTATGTGACAAGAATATAATCTACTTTTCTAAATTGCTAACTAGTGACATTTATTATTTATTAAATAATTAGATTTTTATTTAAATCTATTAAATAATTAGATAATTATTTATTAAATAATCTAACCCCATTGTTTGAATATGCCTCTAATCATAATAAATTCTTACATACAATAGAACCGTCATATTAATTCATAACTATTTCTTACCAATTTTGTTCCAAATAACCTGTAGAATGACTCGTGTGTGTTTTAAATTATGCTGTTTTTAAATATCTAAGAGCACTAACTTCCCCAATTTATCTCCCCTTTCCTTACCACCTTCAGTTTCTTCACTGCCAGTTTTTTTCACATGGATTTCAGAATTCATCTCTATTATAATTTTTATTGGCATGGCAATACATCTATGAATTAAATTTAAGAGCTCTAAGTACCTAGGAATAAAAAATACATATACTAGCTTTATGGGAAAAATACAAAACTATATATAAAAGTTCCTCATAAGCATGTAAACTATGGCTCAATTAAAAAAATAACTTACTTGAGCTATTTGTTATATTAACTTTAATATTCCCCAAACTGGATATGTACACCACTTTGTATATGTGTGACATGTTACAAATTAATCTTTTAAAGAATGTGTTTAAAAAAACTAAAAAAAAAAAAAAAAAAACCCAAAAAACTGATTTGGGGAACACCCCCATCTAGCAAAGTGACATACATTGATTGAGAGTACAAATGAAACACTGAAAGACAGGACTCCTTAAGACTGGAACAGAACTTTTATAGGCTTCAGAATAATTTTCTCCCTCCAAAAACAAAAACTTAATTCCTTCATATATTAGGGCTGTTGATAACTTTTAATTAATGCAGACAAATTAATTAAAGATGGTATTAGTGTCAATTTAACATTTGGCTTTAACGTGTAAAATGTGTTAAAGTTCCAGAAAACAATCCTTTCTTCTTGTCTGGTTTTCACAGTTTCCAAGAGGGCTTAAAAAATAATTTTAAAAATGCCACCACCTGTAAGGGCTCTTTAATTTTCATCTGCTGAACTAGTCTCTTTTGTGAAGTGCAGAGATAAGGTTCTTTTGTAACAATTCAAAAATAATAATGGTGTGGGGGCATATGAAGAGTCCTAGAACGTCTCAAAAGATATCTTTAAAAACATGTACACTGTATTGCATTGCTTTCTCTTCAGTTCCTCTCTATGGAAATATTTCCATTTTACAGATGAGAAGCCCAATACCCAGATGTTAGTAAGTGTTGACAGTCACACAATTTGTAAAAGGTAGAACCAGACCTTAAAACTGAGTTTTCTGATTCCAAATCCAATGATACTATATAGCAATGATTCTAAATTTTATATTTGTAAACCAAGTATGAATTAAAATATGCTCATGAAACAATATAAAAACTTTAATGCTAAAAAAAACAGCTACACCAACTTTTCTTTTTTTAGCCAAATTGTTCACATATATCTTTTTTTTGAACACCTGAAAATTACTTCCGTACTAGAGACACAGTTTCTTGTTGTGCTTTAAAAAATGATTCTAGTTGATACAGGTTATTTTTATTCCTTCTTGGTACTGATACAAATGAATTATCAGTGTTCAAAGAACTTTTAAAGTAAGGTACAAGTACTTTTAATATCCACCCAGAAAATTTCTTGGGGTGGTGGGTGTAGCTCAGTGGCAAGAGTGCATGCCTAGCATACACAGGGTCCTGGGTTCAATCCCCAGTACCTCTACTAAATAAATAAACAAATAAATCTAATTATCGCCCTCCCCAAACAAACAAAAAAATTGCTTAGTGGGACAGTATGATTAAGCTGATATGGAAATTTGATCCCTCAAAAAAGGCAGCACAGAATTAGTGGATTCTGCTATCAATAAATAATTTCATACCTCAGTAGTAACTTAATGACAATCAAAATTATACTTTCTTTTCATAAAATGTATTCAATTAAAAATGTAAATTCTAAACTCCAAACTTTTCCCATTAGGCATACATTATAAAGACCTTAAAAAAAATTCTAAGCCACATTCAATATTAAGCAATTTTACTTCATTCTTAAATATAATTTTGCATTTGAGAATGCTGACAGCACAACAAAGTATGAGTATCAGCGTGGAATGACAAACTAGAGAAAAGCATCTGCATATATTCAATAAAGAAATCTTATCACTTCTCTCATGCCTATAGGGCATTCGACTATTTCAAGGCTTTTACAAAGTTTGTGGTATATTTTCTACCATGTTGTGGCTATCAACCCAAAGTTGGGGAGAGGGACTCTCAAGCTTTATTGGTTTTCTCAATGGGATAGAATACCAGAAACTAAACTCATTAAAATGTGCATACTATAAATAGGGTTTGAGCAAGTATCTGAAGAATCTGTAATTTGTATATGAGCTTTGGTGCAATCTTGGTGATACCCATCTTGGCTATTAAGAATCTAAGGAGTTTAATAACCAGTTTTTGGTTGTCTTTTAGATAAGGTGAACTTGCTGGACAGGTATGGATACTTAACAATAATATAAACAATCATTATCATTCTTTAAGAGTAGACAATACTTGCTTTTATGAACTTATCTATTATTTGCATAACTTCATGACTACTATTTACACTTAGAATTCATCATCTATCATTTGCTGTAGCTGCCTATATAAAATCTCACAAGTATCTAAGATGCACAATTCAATACATTTTTTTACTTTCCTAAAACAGTTTTAATACTCTTAAATGTTGTCATGATAATGTCTACTTATACTGTCCTATCTGCCCAAATTTCACCATAAAGAAATTTTCTAGCTAACTAGTATTACTTAAAGATCAAACTCTTTGGAAAGCACCATCTACCAATTTTCTGATGTTTCTGAATTGGTAAGCATAGGAACTGATAAACAGAATAAAATGTTACTTCAGACAGTTTTTGGGAAGAGTCCATTATAATTTATTACAACCTATTATATGCAGATGATAGTTCACAAGATAGAAAATAAACCCATTAAATTGCTTAATGAAATGACACTATGAAGAAAAAAATACATATATGAATGTAAGATACAAAGATTTATAGTCACAGGAAAATTATTATTATTTTTACATCCTGAATGTGATACGTTTAAACAGAATTATAGTGACAAATTAGGAAATACAGTTGCACTGCAAACAAGATGTGATAAAGGGAAAGAGCTGGGATTCAACAAGGAGTGGTGCAACCCAATACCATCAACATTCAAGACTGGCTCTATAAAGCAGAATCTTTGACAAATAAAACTTGGATTAATTCAGGAAAATCAGAACTATGTATACCTGGTACACTAATTACTCATGAATTATTAATTGACTTTCTCCTTAAATATTAAGACGGATTTAAATTTGTCATTTATGTTCCCAGCTATTGTGCTGTATAAGCCTATAGGTATAGTGTACATAAATGCAGCAACCACATGTCAAGTGCTCAATAATTATTTGTTGAATAAATTAATTAATATTCTCCCCAATAAGATTACTGCCCAGCTACAAGTATCACAGCAAATCTTCCTCCACACAAGTTGGTGTGGACCATATCTCCCTTAATAATGGTCAAACGATGATGAGGCCACATTTGATCTAGAAGGGGAGACTTCTGAGTTAGAGGAAAATAAAGGAGATGAAAAAATGGAGGGAAAGGAGCAAGAAGAAAGAACATTTGAAAAAAAGAAAAGTAAACAACATTAAACTGCAATTTTAGCTATAGTCAAGTATAGAGGTTACAAAAGGCAACCAAGACCATGTTTAGGAAGAAAGTAGCAAAGGTAAACAGAATATACATAACAAATTGGAAGACAAATAGAAAAAACTAATATGATAATCTGTTAATGAAGTCTGCGCATTCAGTTTTAAAAGATGCATACAAATGAAAGGAAAAAAATGAGGAGACTAAATCCTTGGGATTAGTTTTTAAGTGAATGGAAACAGATTTATAGTTTACATTGGAAAATTGTGACAGGGAGAATTCTTGTAACTAACTGGAAGAATATTTTCACTTTTGTAGAAATTAATTTAGCAAGACAATTTGGACTCTCCCATACAATGGCATTTGCTAGATTTTCTTCTTCATTTTAAACACTGACAAGAATATAATGTTTAAGACTCTTTAAAGTCCTACCTTATATGGGCTAATTAGTCTTCTTTTAATATCCAGTCTATAGCTTCTGTATTGTTCAGCATCACTCATATCAGTTACCAGTAGTCGAAGAATTTCATAAACCCGTCTAGCATGTTGCTAATAAACCAAATAAAAGAAAAGCATGAACATTTCAAATTACAAAACAGTAACACTTCCCCAAAAGAACACAGCTTACATTGAGTATCTGCTGTGGGCCAGAAATTGTGCTAGGTGCCAGACAAAAAGCAATGAAAGATAGTCTCTGCCCTCAAGGAGCTAGCAGTCTACTGGTAACACAGATGACTGAGGTATGGTTACTTTAATGACAGAAATATACACAGGGTATAATGGTAACATAGTCTGGGAATGGTGGAAGTGTTAGAAGAGGATTCCTGGGGGAATAAGACCTGAGCTGAACCTTAAAGGAAAGGAAACATGCCATGCTTAAAAGAGGGGAGGGCGCTATGTGAGTGTGCATGTCACATGCACATGTGCAGAAGCAGTCTGACATTGCTGAGCACAAAATAGAAAAAGTGTAAGGAGTAGAAGCAAAGTGAGGATGAACCTTATACACTGGGTTGAAGACCTGGGCTTTTATCTAGTAGGTAGCAGATTTTTAAATGCAGGAATGAACAAAGCACATAAATTTGAGTTTTAAATATAGCATTCTCTCAGCTACATAGAATGGTAGCAAAAAGAAGGGCAGGGAGACCAATTAGGAAGCTCAGCTATTAAATCAGGCAAAAAAATGATGAGGGCATGAACTGAGATAGCACAAGTAAGAATACTAAGGGAACAAGGACTCCAGAAATACAGAAGAGGAAAGACTGGCCATGGAGGAGGGTATGGAATGACAGTGAGTTTTCACAGCCTAGGGAGAGATTTAGGAGGCAGCAGAACACCTAATCTGAATAGAATTCTAGTCTAAGGGTGAGGATTTAAGTGATATCAGTACACAGGCAAGAGTTTAAACCAGAAGGCTGGTTAATGGTTAAGATCATCCAAGGAAAGCCTACTCAGTGAAAAGAGGGAAGCGGTCAGAACTCTGCAGTACAGTGAAAGTTAAAGGGCAGACAAAGGAGACAAAAACAGTCAAAGACATATTAGAAGAATTAGGAAGTTTTGGTAACACCGAAGCCAAAGGAGTAGCCTGTAGGTTTTCTGTTTCTGCCATTTCACTTATGTATTTATTGGGTATGGGGAAGCGGTCAGGTATTGGTAGGCTGGGAAGACGATACTGAACTTTCTGGAAGAAACACCCAAGCTGAGCCTGAAAAAAAAAGTATTATCTAGCTAGGCAAAGATGAAGGAACAGGAGAAGGGGGTGTAAGGGCAAGTGGAATAGCCTATATAAAGGGACGTAAGAGGAGGAAAGATGTAGAATAGTTGAGAAATGGCAAGAGGTTTAGTAAAGCCAGATCATGTGGGAAAGTGGTATGCAAGGTAGGCAAGGGCAGATTATGTTGGGATCTGTGTGCCATACTAAGGAGTTTTAATTCCTTTAAGGAAACAAAAAAGGTATAATATAATTAAAAATGTATTCATGTTCTCCTTTAAAAGCTGAGCTATTAAACTCTCATTAATAAGTAAAGGTTTAATAAAGTCGGGAGATATCAATTATTTCTAAAACATTATTTCATCTTAAAGCCAGGAAGCCATTAAAGTGTTTTTATGCATCAGAAGATGGAAAGTTTTGATTCAAACTGAGTTGTTTGCTGAAGATCAGTCAGTGATCGGTTAACTTTCGGTATACAGTTTTGGAGCTCAAGTGGAAAATCTGGATTGAAGATTTAGATGAGACCTCCCAGGTGGAGTAAGTAGAACGAGAAGAAATGAGGATTGGATAAAGAACTTTGGGGGAAGAATTATCTTTAGAGAACATACAGAAGAGTAGAAGCCAGTGACAATATCTCAAAGAAAAGAATCACAGCGGTAAGTGGAAAACCAGGAACTGCAGTGCTTTAGAAGCCGAGGTAGGGGAAGTCAGGGGTACCAAGTGCTAGTCCTTATTACTGAAACACCATTCATCCCACACACTTTAATAATCCAAAACTTACTCATTCTTCAAGGCCTAGATCAAAATGCATCCCTCCCATGAAATACTACGACTCCCTTGCTTACGTAAATCTAATAAACTCCTCTGAACTCCCATATTATTTTTTTCTGTACCTATCTTAAGATACTTGACTACTTTAAAATTCAAACAAATATATATAGAAGTATAAAAAGTGAAAGTGTTTTATTCCAACCCTTCTCCCTACCATTGCAGTCTCCAGGAGGCATTAACTACTTTACTAGTTTAGATACACATTTTCCCAAAAAGCAAACCTAAGATCTTACTATCCATCTTTGTTCTGTTTGTTACACTTCATATAGCCTTGAAATCAATTATCCTTCCATTCCATTAATGAGAAGATGGAGGCAAAAGGAGGTAAACTAAACTGCCCTAAGAGCAAGTGGTGAAGCCATATCTGAACCCAGGCAATCTGGCTTCAGGGTCTGTACTCTTAACCACTGCAACTTCCCACGCATGTACTCCTAGTTTATTTGCAATGTTTAAATAATGTACTTTAAAAAAATCTTCAAAATTTAATTCTCCTCCTACAGAATAAAATACCTTATTTATTTTGAACTTCTGTTGAGCCTCTATTGCCATATCTTCACTGAATCCTTGCATTAACTTTTCCCGGGAAAAACAGGGCAAATCTTGACAAAGCTTCACGAGCACAAAGTCTCTTAATTTCACGTAGCTTTTGGATGGATCTTCCGCTAAAGAAATAAAGCAGAATAACATTTCCCTTACCCAACATAATTTCTTCATTATCTGTAATCTCAGTATACATACTAAGCTTAGAAAGGCAAATATTCTTAAATAATTATATATATATACACAAAAGTTACAATGTGACAAATTATTCTTTATAAATCAAACAGCACCATTATCTTTGTCAAATAAAATTATAAGTGTAATCCTTTTGCAAAGACATACATATTATTTGTGAAATTAGAGCTACTCCTTTTCAAAGGTAAACTTTTTGACTGGTTTGCTGTCATATGCATCTTAGTTTTATTTTCAATTAAAGTAGCTGTATAAATAAGAGATTCAAGTTTGGATAATCAATTCCAAAAGCAAGTATTTTTCTGATAGCTAAGGGTCCCAAAACTCAATTTATAACTCCCTTACTTTAATAAACTTTAGTCGGCTATGCTTCTTTTATCCAAATAAAAAAAATTCTTCCTTTTACAAAAATAAATCTTTTTAATTTAGAGAATAAAGTGAGAATGGCTGATCTTTTCTTCACTGCTTCTGAATAGCATAGATCTTTCTTTATGTTTGTCTATGTTATCTACACTAGACAGAGAACATGAGTATGAGTCCAAGTTCTGTCATTCATAGATGTAGGACCTTAGGCAAATTTCCTCACTTCTCTAAGCCTTCCTTTTCTGATTAGTAGAGGACTTGAAACAAAGAATGTTAAAGTGTGAACTAGTTCATGGATCATAAGACAATACTATTACAATATCAATACTCTACAAACTATTCAATGCAATCCCTATCAAAATCCCAGCTAACTTTTTTTGTTGCAGAAATTAACAAACTCATCCTAAAATTGATATGGATATGCAAGGAACCCAGAATAGCCAAAACAATCTTGAAAAAGTTAGAGGACTCACATTTCTTGATTTCAAAACTTACTACAAAGCTATAGTAATCAAGACAGTGTGGTACTGGCATAAAGATAGACATGTAGATCAATGGAATTGAATTGAGAGTTAAAAATAAACCCATTTATGGCCCATTAAATACAATTCAATGAGGGAAAAAATAGTCTTTTTAACAAATGGTACTTGGAAAACTGGATCTCCACAAACAAAAAGAGTGAAGTTGGACCGCCTTTTCTCACACCATACACAAAAAATTAATTCAAAGACTATCACAGAACTAAATGTAAAAGGTAAAACTACAAAAATTTTAGAAGAAAACAAAGGAGTAAATCCTCATGACTTTTGGTTAGGCAACGGTTTCTGAGATAATGGAACCAAAGCACAAGCAACTAAAAAATAGTAGATAAATGGGGCTATATCAAAATGTAAAACTTTTGTGCTTCAAATGATACCATTAAGAAAAAATGAAAAGACAACCCACAAAGTGGGATAAAATATTTGCTAGTCATATATATGATAAGGAACTTGTATCCAGACTTTTTATATAAATCACTTTTCAATTCAGTAAGAAAAAGACAAATAACCCAATTAAAAAAATAGGTGTAAAAGATCTAAATAGACTTTTCTCAAGAAGATATACAAATGCACAGTAAGTACATGGAAAGATGCTCAACATCATCAGCCACAGGGAAATGCAAATCAAAACCACAATGAAATACCATTTCATGTCCACTAGGATGACTAGAATCAAAAAGGCAGTAACAAGTACTGATGAGGATGTGGAGAAACTGAAACCCTCATATACTGCTGGTCAAAATATAAAATGGTACAGCCACTTTGGAAAATTGTCTGATGGTTCTTTAAAAGGTGAAACATAATTACCAGATTTTCCACCATTTCCATTTCCTAGGTGTATACCCAAGAGATATGAAAACATAGGTCCACACAAAAACTTGTACCTGAATATTCATAGTAGATTATTATTACTCAGAAGAGCCAAAAAGGGAAAACAACCCAAATGTCCATTAACTGATGAACAGATAAATAAAATGTATGGTATACCCATACAATGGAATATTATTTGGCAATAAAAAGAAATGAAGTACTAATACATGCTACAGCAAGGATGAATCTTGAAAACATGCCAAGTAAAAGCAGCACTCATATATTGCATGATTCCAATGTTCAGAATAGGCAAATCTACGGAGACAAAAAGTAGATTAGTGGTTGCCTAGAGCTGGGGGGAGGGTGGGTAGCAAGGGTAGGGGAATGAGAGGACAGAAGTAACTGTTAATGGGTACTGGGTTTCTTTTTAGAAGAGTGAAATATAAAACTAGATTATGGCGATGGCTGCACTGTAAGTATGGTAAAAATTAATGGTTTATTTTAAGTAAGTGAACTGTATGACATGCTAATTATATCTCAATAAAGCTGTTTATAAAAAAAGTCTGCGCTATGGGTAATGATTTATGATTAAGTCATTCATTCAATCATTCATTCCATATGTATGAATACCTTCTTTATGGTTCTGTGTAGCATTTCATATCCATATAATTATTAGGTAATTATATGACTATAGCTTTAACATGAAAAGAAGTGAAATTCTGTCATTGTATCAGTTTGGTATGCAACTATGATTTATAAAGTATGGACAGATAATGAAATCAAAAGTGAACAAGCTGACTGAAATGCAGACCTAAAAAAGAAAATCAAGTAAACATAAGACTGTAATGTAATTAGTTATTCTATCCCATTCTTCTGTCTTTTCTATATTAATCTGGTTGCACCATGCAGTTATACAAACCACTCAGAAATCTGAAGGACATTCTGATTCATTCTCCTATGTGCTGCCATCAGTAATTTTTTTCAACTATTACAATAACCTCCTTACTTGTTTTCCTTACATGTACTCTCCAGCTTTATAAAACGTAAACTGGACTGATACAATTAAAAATATTCAAGTGTATCAACATAACTGTAATGGGAGTCTCAGAGAAAGAGTAAGACAGTATCTGAAAAAAAAAAAAACAGCCAAAAACTTGCTAGATTTGGTGAAAAACATTAATCTACATATACAGGAAGCTCAATAAACTTCAAGTAGGAAAAACACAAAGAGATCCACATCTAAACACATCATAATTAAACTGTCAAAAGCTAGAGATAAACAGAAAATCCTGAAAGCAGCAAGAAGAAACAACTCATCAGAAGCCATGGAGGCCAGAGGTCAGTAGGGTAATATATTCAAAGTACTCAAAGAAAAATACTGTTAATCAAGAATTCTATATCCAGTAAAATTATCCTTCAAAATGAAGGGGAAATAAAGACATTATCAGAAAAGCAAAGACAAGAAATATACTGTTAGCAGACCTGCCTAACAAGAAATACTGAAGTTGTTTAGGCTAAAGGAACATGGTATCTCAAATCCACATGAAGAAATTAAGAACACCAATAGTTACAATGATAAATATAAAAGGCATAAATCTTTCTCTTTTTTCTGCTCAATTGGTTTAAAAGACAGTTACATGAAAAAATAATTATAAAACCAATGTTTGGCTTACAATATATAAAAATGTAATATATGCAACAATACTAGTACAAAGAGGGGGAAGAATAACTATAATGGAGCAATTTATTTTACCAAAATTGAATATTAATCTGAAATAGACTGTTATAAATTAAAAAATATATATCTTAAGCCCCAGAGCAACCACTAAGCAAAAAAAGAAAAGAAAAGAGAGTTAAAAAAACCATCAAAGGAATTTAAAAACTTCACTAAAAACTACTGACCACAAGAGGCAGTAGAGTGAAACAACAAAAAAAGCAACATAGGGGAACTACTTCAATAAAAATGAATGAATAAATAAATAAAAAGGGGAAAAAAGAAAACAGCAAAGTGACAGGCATAATTCCAACCACAGCAATTATTACATTAAATGGAAACATATTCAACACTCCAATCAAAAGGTAGAGATTTTAAGACTGAATAAAAAAGGATCCAACTATAGGCTATCTATAAGAGACACGTTATAGATTCAAAGTCAGGCTGAAAGTCAAAGAATGAATATACCATGCAAACAATATGAGGTCTGGAGTGGCTATATTAATATCAAGCAAAATAGAGTTTAAGACTTTATCCCCTCAACCTCCCAACACATACACAAAGTGGGAAAAAAGAAGACAAAATTACAAGAAAAAAAAAGGCACATTTTAAAACAAGTTAATTCAAGAAGAAGACATTACAATTATAAACAAATATACAACAGAACCCCAAAATACATGAAATAAACGCTAACAGAATTTAAGGGAAAAATAGACAATTCAACAAAAATAGTTGTAAGTTTCAATACTAGCCCTTCAATAATGGATAGAAAAACTAGACAAAATTATCAAATCTGTTTTGAAGAACCAAACAGCTCTATCAACCAGCCTGAACTAACTGATATTTATACAACAGTCCACCCAACAGCAGAATACACATTCTTTTCAAGTGCACATGGAACATTCACCAGGATAGACTATATGTTGGGAAAAGGGTCTATAAACTATGGCCTATTGGTCAAATCTCATCTACAGCCTATTTTTATATGGCATGTAAATTAAGACTACTTTCTAACTGGTTCTAAAAAACAAAAACCAGAAAACCAGTAAGAATATGCCACAGAGAATTTGTGTGGCTTGCAAAGCATAAAATATCTATGACCTAGCCCTTTAATGAAAAAGTCTGTGGACTCCTTAGTAGGCCATAAAACAAAACTCAGTGAATGAAAAAGAACTGAAGTCATACAAAGTATGTTCTCTGACAACAATGGAATTAAATTACACATCAACAACAGAAGGAAATTTGGGAATCCACAATGTTTGGAATTTAAACATGTTTCCAAACAACCCATGAATCAAAATGAAATCATAAAGGAAATTAGAAGATATTTTAAACTTAATGAGATGAAAGCATAATTTATGAAAATTGATCTGATCAGTTAAAGCAGTATTTGTAATTATATATACATATTACATTTAAGTATTAGTTGTTTCAACATCTATATAGAAAAGGAAAATTAAACTAGAAAAGGGCAAATTAAACTCAAAGCAGTAAGAAGCCAGAAAATAATAAAAATTAAAGAGGAAATCAATGAAGTAGAAAACAGAAATAGAAATTTTTATGAAAACACAAGGGATCCTGTATAACCAAAACAATTCTGAAAAAGAACATGGTTAGAGCACTTTCACTTCCTGATTTCAAAACTCGATATAAAGGTTGAGGCTCTGCTGTCACTGGAGCCATGAGGCCCAAAGAGGGAGAAAGAGAGGCCACAAAGTTCAGGCCTAGGCAGTATATGAGTACCGAAGAGATGAACCCAACTCCAGGCTGAAAAGTGGAAGGCCAAGGAAGAAGAGGAGCAAGAACAGAGGGTGGAGATGGAGTTGCAGGTGACTCCAGAGAGAAGAAACTTCTAGCCTCAGAAGAGAGTAAAGATGAAGCTGACTACCAACAAAGGTGTAAAGGGCTCGTTAACACTGAGAACCCCAACCAGGTGGCACCATTAGGTCACACAACTAGATCTGGACAGGCCAAAGAAGCTTTCAAGGAGAGAACAAGACACCGAGAAGAAAAGACAAAAGAGCACTACATGAAAATGCATTTAGCTGGGAAGACAGAGCAGGCCAAGGCCAATCTTGCCTGGCTGGTGATCAGTCATTCAGAAAGAGCAGAAAGCAGGAAGGGCAGGAGGCTGCTAGAAAGGAAAAGAAAAGGAAAACAAATGATGATACAACTTTATCAGGAAACTGAATGCACCATGAATATGTAAGCACGGCCTGCAGGAGGAAACACCAGGCAACTGAGACAGACAGCCAGGACCTCTGCCTGGTCTTGCCCACCCTATACCCTGGCACCACTGCAGCAGCCTCTCAAAGCCCCTCAAAGCTAGGAGTCCCTCATGGCCTGGGGCGTCCTGTTCATTATCTTGCACATAAAATCATTTAGGGGAAAAGGAGAGCAACGGTGGGTAGAGGGAACAGCTGCTATCTGTAAGGCAAAAAGATGAAGACGACATATCTATGTAACCATTTGAATGATTTTGCTGTTTTTAGAATCTAGAACCCTTGTTGGGAGTGGGGGTTGTCTGAGAGGTGGGGTAAGAGTCTCCACCAGTCATGTAGATTGCACTTTAGAGGATGGTTGGCCAGGGAGAGAGCTGTTGCTGAGTTTGCGACAACCAGCCCTAGTCTGTATTGCCTGGGTGCTCACTCAGAGAGGGACTGTCTTCTGGGAGCCTGTGCCTCTGGATCCCTGAAGGTCATGGCTCTACCCAGGCCAGTCCCCTCTCACTGATGAGGCCTCTCCTCTCTGCCCTTCCCTGCCCCATTCCCACCCACCTGGCCAGGGCCAGTATTCCTTTCTAATCCTACTCACCAATCATATCAAGAAAACTTTACTCTGCAGCACCCAGGCAAAACATGCTCCACAAATTCAACTGATATATTTAGCAGATTAAACTTGACATTATCATTAAGACAAAACACACACAAAAAAAGACAACTCAATATAAAGCTAGAGTAAACAAATCAAGACAGTATGGTACTGGCAGAAGAACAGACACAGATCATTAGAGTCCAGAAATACATCTTGACATTTATGGTCAACTAATTTTCAACAAAGGGGCCAAGGCAACTCAACAGGGAAAGGCTAGTCTTTGAAACAGTCCTGGGAAAATTGAATAGCCAAATGTAAGAAAGACTGATTTAGAAATTTCCTCACATCATGCACAAAAATCACCTTAAAATGGATTACAGACCTCAAAACTTAGAGACTGGGGATGGGATGGGGACTGACTGCAAATGGACGTGAGGCAATCTTTTTATGGTGACAGAAATATTCTAGAACAGGTCTGTGGTGATGGTTGCAAAATTAGCCAAATGTACTAAAAATATGGAACTATACAATGGATGAATTTTGTGGTATGGAAATTATACCTCAATAAAGTTGCTTTTATTAAGCTTCTACTAAGTGACAAACTATTAAGCAAATATCTATTCAAAAATTTTTTTAAAATACTAATATAAGAACAACTCATCAAATGTTAGTTTTTCCAAGTCTGCCTCTTCCTGCACTGCTTTAGAAAAAAGAACCATGTTGCTAATATCAATTTAAAATAAAATTTAGTGAATGAAAGCTTAAATAACTTGTATGCCCCAGAATTTTAGGGAAAAACACATCAAAGGTAAAAAGAATTACACTTCAGAAAAATCTGAAAAAAATCATACCACATTCCTATCTGAAATTTTCACAGAAATTGAAAAATCATGCCAAAAAAACTGTTTCGCTTTAACTAAGCTGTTATAGACTAACAGTATTTTGTTGGCAGGTTAATATAATGGGCCAAGTCATCACTCAATCTTTAAGTACTTTAAAAGTGTCAGTGTGAAAATGAACTTAATATGGTAACACCCAATAATTTGTGACATCCTTCAATTCCTTTGTTTCTATGCTACAAAGATAAGCAATACATTTAAAAGATGAAATTTGCTTGGATATAAATCTATAGTGATATGTAGGCTCAAAACTTGAATTTTTTCCAAGTTAAATACATCATCTATCAACATAAATGCTCTTTTATCATTTAAAAAAACCTCTTCATATTATAAAAAATTTAGATAATACTCTAAAAAGCCATGTAACATATCAGTACTACCAGGGACATTTAAAGGACAGACATAATTACTTAATATACTACTGATAGACTAATAATACTGACATCTATTCTAGCCCAAGATCAATTTCTATTGCCAAATGCAACTCTCTTCATAATTCTGGAAGAAACATATCATTTTCTATATACAAGGTCATACAACTGAGATGTATTCAAATGCTACATATTTTATCCAACCAACATACTCAAAAGGAAGATGACACATGATATAAAGAATTGTCTTCAGTATTTTACTTTGAGTGTTAAAGAAAATGTGCGGCAATTACACCACACTAATCTATCCTGTAACACAGGCCATGAATGGTTCAGTTTTACTGACTATGTGTCAAGTAAGCAAAAGTCCATCTCAATATAAAGAATACCCCAGAATGCAATGGGAAATCCAGAGCCTACTAAAGACTCAAAAAGTTTTAAAAATATACAAAATAATGGAGCTACAGGCAAATAAAATGACCAAAGAGTGGGAAATTCTATACTTTTCTTTTTTAAAGGACTAAGTAAGGAAATCTAGGAGAAATATCTTAATGAGAACAGCTGATAAGGCATTTTTAGTAACTTATAATGCTAAGAAATGTTAACACTGGAAATAAAGGCCAATACCCAGTTTTCAAATTCAGAAGTCCTTTAGCATGTTTAGTGTTTTCTTTAGAAACTTCAGAATAAAGGCTACAGTTATCAATGACTCTTCACTGAGATTTAAGAAATAAAATTCTTCATCTGCTAATTGGTGCTAAGTATCAAGGACTTTACTGGCTGGAGTAGACAGAAAAAAGTGGTTAAGAGACTTCACAGAAACAACCCCCGCTGGCACATTATCCACTAGAGAAGACAAAGACTACTTATGTGAACTCTAAGTCTCCAGATTAAAATCTCCAAAAAAGTCCCTTCATGTAGCACCAAGTCCAAGCTCTATAAGTAAACAGATGCTAAACAAGTTTCAGCTTAGCTAAAAAGAATTGTCACCATTTGTATTATATTTCTATAATTTTACAATCACTAAGCTAGTGAAGGGGTCACTTAAACAGTGTATAACTTTTGACATAAACTAACTTTAGTAATTACTTCTTTATCTCCCAAGATTCCAAATTATTTATCAGTAGCAGTTGAAAGTCAGTTGAAAAGATAAATCAACTTTCTAAACAACTTTAAAAACAATGCGCCTTCCCTCCAGTTTATTAGTCTACACGATCAATTCAAAATCTGTTTTGGAGTAACTTTAATTTTATTTACATTGGACAAGCAAAACCACTACATTACATGAAAAAGGAAGAAACTAATAATTTGCCTACTAGCCTATATTCTTGTTAGTCCCACATCCGTATATATACGCACATACACATATATACACAACTCTTTCAGTGTCTAAAAAATTGGTAAAATTCCAAAATAGCATTTAAAGACAACTTAACATTTTAGTGTGTGTTAAGTACTGCAGTGTTAAAAACAAAAATGCATGCAAACTCTCACAGAATTAGCAAAATATTGAATTTGGATGTGAGTATCTGGTATAGTATTTTTCATGGAGGAAAAAAAAAGGTGACTTTCAGTTTAATCAGCAAGTCTAAAAAAATGTGAAACAGTGCTACTCATGGGAAAGAAAATAATGGTAACATAATGATAGCGTAAATGTTCCTTGAGCCACTTTGTTCTTTGGTAGTTCACATATTTGCATACTATCATCTGGAAACTCCATCAAATCTCACCTTTCCATTTAAAGAGTAGAGTTTCTTTCCTTCTCCGAAGGATCCTATTCATAATACTACTTATATGGCTAACTCATACTGAAAGATGTTTCTAAAACAAATAGGCCTATATTTCACCTTTCAAACTACTGTTAATGGGGGACAGCGGGTAAAGCTCAGAGGTAGAGCATGTGCCTCGCATGCACAAGGTCCTGGGTTCAACCCCCAGTGCCTCTGTTCAGGGAAAACAAAATAAACTTAAAAATAAATAAATAAATAAATAAACCACTGATATGAAGGTATGCATTTTAAGGAATATAAAACACACACTTTAAGAAATGCATATTCTATTCAGGAACTATTTACCTTGTTTCCCCCACCTCCTTACTAAGGTTTAGAATATTCTGCCCCTACTTAAAAATTAGAGCATGGTCTCTGAGCAATGCAACTGTTTGCCAAATAAACTGAGTAAGTCATACCACATTTGTAACATACTTATGCCTAACCAAAGTTTCCCAATATATATTCAATTCATTATTTTCAATTTGTTCAATTAATAAGTACTTTATACTTAGAGAGGCAGTCCAATCCCACAAAGGATTATGATTTAAAATGTAACCGTAAGCCATCTTTAAACAGTTCCATAAAGACTCCAGGAAGACTGTTGCTTTTTAAAATAGGATAGTTATAGGAGGTGGGCAGTAGAGTTCAGTGGTAAAATGTGTGCTTGGCATACACGAGGTCCTGGGTTCAATCCCCACTGCATCCGTTAAGGGAAAAAAAATAATAAATAAAAATAAAATAGTTATTTCTGACAAAACCAAATTAGTAAATGAGAGTTTTTTTTAGAAAGCCTCCTTCAGTAACAAATCAAATTTTACATACCTGTAATATCAAGAACAGAAGGAGATGCAATGTAGTATCTATGAACTGTTTCAAGAAGTTGAGCACCATGGCCTTGACCTTGAAATGGAGTCAATATCAGCATCTGACTACAGTAGAGAAATTATATTAATATCAAAACATGATCAATTTACAAACTGCAAATCACTACAAAGTTTGTATGATTTTTTCAATCAACCTTCAAGAAATCCAAAAATTATTGAGCTACTCAAAATTGTAAACATTTAATCATCCACACTGTTTCAAAAGGAACAATGAAATAAATCAGTACACAGCCAATGAACAGTGGTGATTTTTTAAAAACAAATCAACACTATTATAGCAAGTATTGGAAACTTCAGCAGTTCCTTCTTCTGAAATAAAAGACAAGGCACGTGTTATACTGCCAATTACCTTACACGTGGCCGGGTTTTGTCTGGGTACACATAGTAATTATAGACTGTCATGTAGCCTACGGTCGCAAAGAGTGTAGCTCCATCCTTATTATACTTCTCAAATCTGCAGATAAAACAGAAAGCCAAGCAGGTCAATTACAGTCGCGCTCCCATGCAGTGTCCATTTGCTTTTCCATTCTCTGACTGAATTTTCAGTGTCAGCAAGCTACTCTGTGAGGGCCCAATGGGTACACCTGCTATGTTCTGAATATACAATTCACTTAATTGGTGTGCAGCAACTTGGATAAATCAGACCTCTTTACATCACTTCAGTGCACTTGCCTATTATAAAGATGAATAGGTGGCAAGTAAAAGAAAACACAGGCAAAGCTCATTTTACTGTTTAAGCCTACATTCAGGGCCCTAACGGACAACAGCATTTAATTCAGCTCTATTCTCAAGGTCTCCCAAAGCATAATGAAGGAAAACTCAAGCCTCATAAACAATAGTTTTTCTTTCCTGGGAAAAATATCATTATACTGTCCCAATAATTGGGCCGCCACAATTAAAATGCTGCTTTGTGGAGGTAATAAGGTCTACTGTTGCTTTAGAACTGTACTTACACTAGAAAGTAGTGCCATCTTTCATCATCCACGTCAATAAAGCTAGCAGTTTCAATAAACCACATCAAAAAGGTCTGAAGCCTTTCATGATATTCTCGAAAGCCTCTACATGTCATGTCAGCCTAGGGAAAAAGCCAAGAAAAGTCAGGTGAAACTCATCACAGAGGTAAGTGAAAGTCTGCAGAACACAAAACTATCCTGTGGGAAAATGTTTAGAAGTCTCAGATTAAGATGTGTACACAGACGCACATACAAAACAGATCTTTGTTTTTAATGCTGACAAAGACTTGTTTCCTGAAGTTAGAATAAATACACAGAAAGTAACAAAACAGAATACAGGTTTCAGGCAAATGAGGTACTTCCACCCAGGAAATATTTAGATTTATCTGTACCTTATATATTTGAAAGGTGAAGTTTTCTCCTCCTGTTGGACTGAGAACAGAGTATGTATGGAGTAAGGTTCCAAATGGCTTGAAATCAACTTCTTTTTCCAGCAATGAAAGAAAATCACTTGTGTTTGTGCAAAATCCAGGCGGGATGATTTGTCTAATTTTGCCCTCGACATCATCTGCCTAAGGAATGGAGATTAAAGGACATAAAATATAATAAATTTGACTTTTAGTTGAATATGCTTAGTTTCTTTGAAATGGGCATAATCCACAAACTTCAGTTCACTGTGAAACTAAAGATGCAAACACATGTTGAACTGGGATAGAATGAGTTTTGCATGTACGAGATACTGCCACCAGAATGTAAGATGAACCCAAGTTTAACATAGAAATAAAAAAGAGAAGGTGGGTAGCCTGGAATCAACTGCAAGAATGAGGGCAATTCTATAGAAATTTCTAACATCATGTAGAAAATGCTAACTATATCCCTTCAGGACAATTTGAACTGGCCAAAACAAAAGGCTGCTTATTATTTCACATGTGCCAAGGAGCGTATATTATCCAAGACGTGAAAGAATCACCAGTAGCAGTGCAATGAGGCTAGAGTCTGACCAAATGAATGGCAACCTCACTAAGCAAGGAGACAGGTCATAACTGCCTCATATACCAAACTCAAAATTAAGATAACTTAAAAAATATACCCACTTAGGAAACACATAAATTATATGAACGGATATATTACCCACTCATCCTATAATGTGACACAATTTTTATAGAGTTGCATTTCTGACAGTAAAAAGAGACAAGCCTGGACAACAAAATTAAACTCAGAGATTAAAATTACCCTTGTTAAACAACCTCTATGAATGTTAAACTATCAGCTGAGCAGACTTCATAATCCTTTTCAAAACCCCAAAAGACCACTTGATTGAATACATTTACTACTTCTCTTTAACCATGAATATTTGATGAAGTCTTACAATAAAGTATTACTGCTTCTCACCAGGCAATAAAACTTAATGAATTGGTCTCAACTTAACAAAACCTTATCCCTCAATACAGTCCCTAAAAGCCTGACATTACATTCAACAAAATGAGCTTGCATTCTATTCAGACTTTTTCCTGAACAATGAGGCCAGGTTTTTACTTAATGGAGTTTGCCGTGAGTTCAGCTGTAATGTTTGTATTGTATCTATTTCCACAAGGACTGACACAAGAACACTTTGTGTTAACTTACTAAGCAGCTCTTTCATACCGTTTACATGCATGATGGGTATTAGTTCTAAACCAAGACCCTTGCTACTTAGCATTCAAAACAGGGAAATTAAGATGCTTAGGACAAAATACACTACAAAAGGCTAATACAACATGCTACTAATTCCTGTCCTTTCAACCATCTTTTAACCAAGTAGAAGCAATGCACCTGCAGATGAATAGCACTTTATTACCATTCAGTTACATTTTAGGATAGAGAACCAAGGATCGAGTTATCACAAACAAGTTTTATTTTCAATGCTCTGGTACCACCAACATTTATATATAACTTGTTTATAGCTATAAAGAAAAAAGGGCTATTATTTAAAAATATAGCTCTTTAACATTTTGCCCAACAGCTTATTTCTAATATGTTCACTAGTCCTTACAATCTACTCACCCTCAAGATCAAATAAACTGCATTTGATAGGACTACTTTTGCTTATTTTTAAAGTACTATTTGATAAATATTATTCTTTGAAACTGCTATCTAATGTGAAGACCATCTTAAGCACATTTTATAGAATCTGTACAATTTCAATAATTACAAGAGGAAAGTGTAACCTAAGGGATAATTTTAATAGGTCTGTTGGGTAGCAATTAAAATCCAAAGTACCGATGGGTAAAGCAGTATTAATTCAAATTTTAAAAAGTCAAGAAACACTGCTTTTAAATAAAAAGGTTTATAATCTATCAGTTTAAAAGAAAACACTTTGAAACATGTATAGTTTATATAATTTTAACTTCTAAATTTTTCCCTATGTTCTGTCTTCTCAACAAGGCATTGCAAAGCATGATCAAATAACTTCACATATCAGAAATCGAATGCACTTCAAAGATTTCTTAGAAACTCTAAGTTTCAAGCAGCAACTCTAGTTGAAGATAGAGCAGCCCAAAAATTTGAGCTCAAAGTTTAGAGAGTTAATGTTTAACTTTCAGCCTTCAAAGGATCCCTATTTATTGTAATAAATATCTTCAGATAAATATTTTGCTCTGAGCAAATTTACACATTAAGAATTTTCACAGGGGCATAAAAGGTCAAGTTTAAAAACAAGGAATCTGTAATATATATAATATATTCAAGAAAATGTATATCTGATATATTACATAAAATACATAACATAAAACCAAACAGCTCTTCAAACAGAATTCAAAACTTTGCATCACTAAAGGAAAAATGTCTGCAATTCTCTATAAATGGATTCTGCCCTAAAGGGGGAAAAAAAATCCTGTAACTATCATGCCTTAGAGATCCGTACTCTTTTCTAAAAGAATAAATATATTTTAGTTCAGTTAAACATTCTTTTTTCATATTGGATTACTGGCCAGATAACAGAATTATCACTAGAGAAAACTCCCACATAACCACTTTTAATTGAATGTAGAATTAAAGATTAACTGAAACCTTTTAGTCCCAATGCTTGTGGCTGAAAGTTTAGATGCTATTTCTGAAGATCATGGAAGAATTCACTATCTTTAAGAATATTCTAAACTTTAATTAAAGTTACATAAAAATATACTTACAGAAAGGATAAGAAATTAAGCTGAATAGATTAGGAATCAAAAATACAACCTGACAAATTTAATTAATAAAGACATGCCTTACAAAAGTTTTCTTAACACCTGGCAATATCTTTTTAATAAGAAAGCATAAAAGTAACTCTTCTGTTTCTCTGTTCTCTTAGGTGACTCAAGACAAAATGTTTTAGATTGCATAGTCTATCACTATGGTCATTTCAGCTTCCAGTATTCTATTCTTTGTCACACATGAGATGCTTCCATGAACCAATTTTTGCTTTTCCTCAACACTGCATAAAGCAATGTGCCTGAGACTAACTGGAAGTCTGCTATGATACAAACACGTTTACACTTGTATTTGTGTTTATACACATTTGGAAACCAAATTACCTCTTTAGTGTTTTTTCCTAAACTGCAGCATTTGTCTAATAAATTTGCCTGTGATGATTTATTTCTGAAACAGCAATTTTAAAGGCATGTTAAATAGGTAATACGTGCTATCCTTTACTTGGCCAAAATGGCAGAGGCTTAATATTAACTCTAATTCTAAGAATACCTAACATATGCTACAAAAACTAGCAAAAACAATCCGTATCTACATAATTTGCTCAGTCTTACACTCTCTGACAGTATTTAAGCTGTAGAAATTTCAGTACTGTTAGAGAAATTAAGTAGAGAAAAAGTATGAATGTTTCCACTACTGGAAAAACAAAAGTCATATTTATACTTATTAATGTCAATTTATACTGCATGAGTGTTTTACAACCTAAACTCACAAACAAAAGTTCACGATAAAAACCTATATAATTTTAAAGCTTTTTATGACATTTCATAAAAAATAATTCTTCATTAAGAACATTGTCATGCTTATCAAAAAAGAATATAGTGGAATACACTAAAATATTATTAGTCTACCAAAGAGTATTTTTTTCATTTCCTCAAGATTAAATTTTTTACAAGTGAACAGGATTTTTCTATTTAAAAAACCCTAAGGAATCCAGAGAATTTTAAAAATTTGCTCTCATCTACTCTCAAATTCAATCCATATTATTGATAAAGATAAAATGGATGACTGAAATTCAAGATAATAAAAACCTTATCCATGTATTTCAACTTTCTCCAACAAATCTTTCCCTAAAATGCTAGCAAATTAGCAAGACTGAACAATCTTAGTTACACACCCTTCCACTAAAAAGCAATGAAATTACCTCAAGAAAGGGCAAGAAGTACTGATAAAAGCAAAGATCAGGGACAACCATAAGATGAACAAACCATCATTGTCTGAATAATGAAGTTTATTGTATTGCAAAATTCAAAATAATTATATTGCTATTAAAGATGATGGTCAGTGGAGATGTTTTGCAGGCATCTTAATTGTGACTAAAAAATTTTAGCTGAAGAGCTTGCAAGAGAATGGATGATGAAAAATTAATATGGGGGAGGGTATAGCTCAGTGGTAAAGTGCATGCCTAGCATGCACGAGGTCCTGGTTTCAATCCCCAGTAACTCCATTTAAAATAAATAAACCTAACTACCCACTCCCCCTCAAAAAACAACCAAAAGATTAATACAATGGCAAAATTCTAATAAATAAGTTTTAGGCAGATTTGCTCTGGTTTCTGACCATTTAAAAGGGTATATTTTTCATGTACAAAAATGATGCTACATAGTATAGTCTGCAAAAACTCAATCATGATATAACACAGTCTCAAACCTAATACATCTAAAACAAAAATCTTGTTTTCTCCCCACTTAAATCAACTTCTCCAATCTTCCCTAACTCAGTTAGTAGTACCACTATTGCTTAAGCAAAGGGATCCTCCTTGGTCCTCTTTCCCTCATCAATCACATTTAATTCAACTGCAAATGCTAGTGGCTCTACCTCCAAAACACATCCTCAACCAGGCAACTAAATGCAGTGTTGCCTATAAAACTGCAATGTTTGGTCTCCCCTTTCACTCTTCTGCCCTACAGTGTGTTCTTGCATAGCAGCCAGAACCATCTTTTAAAAATATAAATCCTATCATATAACCCCCACCTACTTAAAAACCTCTAAAGGCTACAAGTATTCATACTCCACATAACCTAGTTTTGCCAACCCCCTTCAACCATCTCCTACCCTTCTCCCCATCACCACAATGATTTAACAACAGTGATTTTTCTGGACTACAAAAATGCCAGGTGTTTTCATTTCAGGGCTTCTGCATATGCTGATCCCTTTACTAACTGAACCCTTCCCTCAGGTTATTACATGGCTGGCTCCTCTTCATTCAGAAACTAGCAAAATGTTTCTTCATACACTATCTGAATTTAATTTGTTTACTTACTATTTGTTTATTGACTGCTCCTCTTGGCTAGAACGTAAGCTTCATGAGAGCAGTGACTTTGCTTTGTTTGCCACTATATCCCAG